ACCAATCAGCTAGACCATCGGCCAATAAGCCTCAAGGATCTGCTTGCCCACTCAGCCCCAGCACTGATGCTACAGATATACACTGTCACGTCAGCTTCTCACACTGAGGGCTGAGGATCTGATGTCAGGTCCTCCAGCTCTTGTAGCAAGCACTTGACTGACTGAGTCCTCCTCCTAACCTCTCAGCTTTCCCTTTTTATTTTTATTTTATGAGTATGACTGTAATGTTTGCGTGTGTAATAGTATATTCATATCGTGCAATGCCAGCGGAGGACAGAAGAGGATATTGAACCCTCTAGAACAGGAGTTTCAGTTGTTAGCCACCACGTGGGTGCTGGGATTTCAACCCAGGTCCTCTGCAAGAACCGTCCGTCCGTGCCCTTAACTGCTGAGTCATCTCTCCAGCCCCAACTTTCCCTTTTCTATGGAAGAACTCTCCCCTCTGTGACAGGGAGGATCCCTCTGCACAGAGACTAGATGCCTATTTTTCAGCCTAGTCATTCTGTGGGCATGATCTGGAGGAGTATTTCCGCTGTGAACTGAAGAGCCAAGACATGCTAGGTGCCCAAAAGAGGCAAGAACCACACTGAGATAAAGAGAACTCTGCATGTGGATTTGGAAAGTACAGCTCCACGTTATTGTGGACCAAAGGTTTGCAGACTTCTACAGAACTCAGTCCTTCAGTGTTGCATAACCTGACATTTCTCAGAGTTATCAGGCCTCACTTCTTTTGAACGGCTACCTAGAGGGCGAAAAGCAGCAGCAGCTATTATATATAGATAGCAGCCCTGCACAGTCATCCCATGAACAAATGTGCTTAGGGGATTGCCCTGCATCAATCTGCTTCATTTATGCAATAATCTATAGTACAGGCTGTCTCCATTTCCCAGATGAGGGAACTGGCATAGAATCATTGACTGTCTTGCCAAAGTGTTGGTGGTAAAGAACAAAGGCCCTCATCCCAGACGGCCCGCCTCTGGGAACTACCCAATCACTGTACTTACACTTTACCTGAGGACCACAAAACACAACCTGGAATCCAGATACTGTTGCAGGGTATTTTCATTTACTATGACCTCCTTGTTTAAAGAAAAACACAAATAAAACACACAAACCTCAGAGGTTTTACCATCCGTATAGCATCATAAAGGAGACCAGGGACACTTCCTGTCCAAGGAGTATGAATCTGGTCTTCAGCACTCAAGGAGGACCCGACACATTTGACAACCACACAAGACAATGAAGACGGATACCATGTGGGATGGGAGAGGATAGTCACCACTCTGGGGAGGCTGCAGCTCTTCTGAGAGTCCTCTTCAAATTCACTTCCTCTTTTATCAACCACATCTAAATGTGGTTTGACTTTATATCTAGCACGGAGTTCTCTCTGCCTAATTTTCTGCTCCTGTGTCACTGCCTGAGACCAGGCAAAGACCACCTTCTCCTGAGTTACAACACTAGCTTTCTAATGAGGCTCTAGACAAAAAGGAGAAAATCAGCCCATGTAGAGGCAGTGTTCTGTGAGAGGAATAATAAGATGTGATCTGTTATAAGAAAAAAATCCAAGGAAGATTCAAATTTACCACTGATTTCAAAATTGCGATTTTATCAGTAGAATTTTTATAATCCCTGTGTATTCCTGGTGGAATCATCTATTGGATACACACACACAATTACTAGTGATGAAGAGAAAAACAAGTCCATACAGCACTGCGTCGTATAAATACAGATCTATTACTCATCTGCTGCTCTGGCTAAATAATCAGGCTTTGATAAGAGGTCGATCATGAAAAAATCTGCAGATGTATTTCCTAAGTCGTATTTAAAGTTCAATACCATACACTTGAACTTAGACTTGACTTTGGCTTCAATAAAAGAAATTTCCATTTGTATTTGTAGCATTTTCCAACTTCTTAACAATAGAAGTAATGCTGATCCTTAGCCTGACAAAAAGGATTTACCAGCTAGGTATGTGCCCTGAGGAACTCTGATGGAGCTCTGGCTTTTTTTTTTCTTCTTCTTTACCCAATCCATGAGCAATCTTTTCCTGGTTTACTGGGTCTAAATGTGCCAGCTCACACAAGTCATGTTTTTCAAAAAGAGAAGGATAGCAAAAATATCCACAAATTATGTAGGACCAGGCCCGGTTAGCTGATGGATAACGAAAGGTCTCAGCAGGAATGACGTAAACAAGAGAAAAGTTTTGATGTCTGAAGAAACGAAAATAAATAACCTTTCTCAAAATTATGTTTTCCAGATTTTCTCTCATTTTTTTTTTTACTGGAGTCTTATGACAGAAAATGTTTCTGATAGTGAAACATTAAAAAAAATCCCAAAATATTTATCTCAAATGGGAGGATAAAATTTAATTTGTGAGAGGAAAAAGCAGATAATTTTGGTATACAAAATTTAACAGTAAAATTACAGTCTTCAAAAGGGAAGTTCCCATAGTTTCTTTTGGTTATGAAACCAATTAGTCGAAAGACAGTAGACAGGATGTCCAGGGTCCTATGCCATTAACTATGGGGGGCTAAGTGAAGCCGATCCCTAATCACACCTCCAGAAAGCAGCATGTACACAGGCCAGGCATAGCACCTCCTCATCACGGCTGAATCAGGAACAACAGAGCACGCCATTCAAGCTCCCTTCCATCTAAGGCCTGCAGTGTCCTCTGATTTACGGCTTGTCTGTCTCATATTGTAATGCTGTGTAATCCTGCTCACAAAGCTAAGCATTAGGGTAGGAGAGAGACTTAGGAATAGGAGGACTGGGCTGCCAGTGGAGTTCACAGGTCAGTACAAGAGATCTGAGCAAAAGTGAACATATATATATATATATATATATAATTAAATTTATTTAATCAGATAATTTAAGGGTTCAGCGAAAGTTTGGGAATGAAAATATGTGATTTAAAGATAGAATTGGATTGTTACAACATGGTTTCTTGGAAGTACCAATCAGATGGCAGACAATTGTGAGGACGTCATGCCTGAGCTGGGGCAGCAGCTGGGAGGCAGGGCTGATCTTAGAGCCTGTCGCTATCTTGCATCCATGGAGATAGGGCAGCAGAACACGAAGGGTGATGACAGAGAAGTGAAGTATGAACACGGGGAACTCAGATCTTTGGGAAGGTGAGAGACAGAAAGAAGAGTGTGGTCCTCATGAACTGAGAGCTCTGTGGGGCTGTCGCCTTGGCCTGGCTCCGTGTTGCTGGGCGGTCATGTGTATAGGCAACGACATGCCCACAAACATCCCCTGCACAGGTGACATCCAATCTGTCTGTCACTAATGAAAAGCATTTGCTAACAAAAGTAAAATCTAAGGAGAAGTAAATTAAATTTAGAAATATTAGTATTAAATAATTATCATCTATGTTTAGATGTTGCCATAGGGAAAACACACTCAGATTATTAGCAATGCAGCCTAGTTTTGTATTTAATATGAATTATGGCATGAATAGACCCAGCAAGTGATTTTCTGGAGAAATTTATCTCAGGTAGAGTCTCTGGTGATCAGAATCAAAAAAGTTAGAAAACAGCATGTCTAGCCACTTCTTCTAAGAGGCCAGGTACAGTCAACAAATGCTAGAGCAGTGGACCACCAAAGAGAAACAGACTGGAATGGAGCCCATGACTTCTTGAAAATGTTAATTTAAGAAATCTTTAAAGCTTTAGCAAATGCTCAGACTCATATACAATAGAAAAAGATGATTTCTTTTGTTAAAGGAAATTTTATTTTGTCACACCTCGTTATCTGACAAGTGTGACAACCCGGACCTCACATAACGAAGATGAAGACAGCCGGTAAGCAGAATTAGCGAGCTGAAGCAAAGCGTAGCAACAGAAATCAGCAGACACAGTGAATGGAGATCAGTGCACCTACAGCCAGCACAGAGGCAAAGGACGCCAGGAAACCAGGTCTGGAACATCTGAAGCTACTGAATTTCCTTTAGTCAAAGATGCAGCAGGGAGCCAAGGTCAGAGAGGAGAAGGGAGCTGTGTAATCCACATTCTTAATGATTTTTTCCTTTTATCGTTTTAACGCACAGCTGAACACAGACTCTGCTCCTCACCACCTCAGTCACTCATCATTTCAAGAACCTGCACTACAGCCATCTTTGGTGCTGTTTTAAAAGTTAACATTTTTTTCCTGTATCGATCGGCACAGCACTAACTTTTTAAATTCTAAACAAGGCATGCAAAAGTGGACAGAAAGAAACACAGCACTTCCTAGGAAGTGAACTGGTGTCCTGGACACGATGTGACATCTTCAACCTCCTGAACTCTACCAAGGCTTTGGCCTCGGCATATTAAATTGGCTCAGGCCTTTAACACCAGTGAGCCAATGTCTCCCTCTCCCGCTGTTATTTCCTGGTTTCCAGACACCCAGTACATCTGGTGACCTGACAGCCACCTCGGCCATCAGTGTTGAGGTTTTGGTTTGTTTTTGCTGCTGTCCCAGTCATTCAAGCTGCTGTGTGAGATGATGTGTGTGTACAGGTGTGAATGTGGGTGTGGTGCGGGCCTGGATGTGGGTATGGGTCTGAGAGTTGGTGTGGGTGTGGATGTGGATCTGAAAGAAGGTGTGGATATGGGTGTGGGTGTGTTAGGAGCTTGGAGGAAGAACAAAGTGTGGATACAAGATAGAGAACCTACGGGGTGTGAAAAAAAGCCAATCAACAGAACCCTTTGCTTTGCCCACAACTTTCTTCTTTCTCGAGAGTCTTCTTGACGTAGCCTGGCCTGGTCTGTAACTCACTAGATATTCCAAGCGGGCTTGAGCCCATGATCCTTCTGTCTCAGCCTAAAAGCTGCTGTATTAGATGTGTACATCCACGCCTGGATCTTTCCACACTTATTCTGAAAGTTTATGCGGACAGCGCTCCAAAATCTCTTGTTGGACACCAGTATGACACAAGTTTTACGTTAATTAATAACCTTTGCATAAGAATTCTCCAAAAACAAATTAGTAATCTTTAGAGAGTGAAAACAGGATCCTACCTGACAAGACCACTTCAATAAGATCTCCCTCCTGGATATCACTAGCGGTTTTCACCAGCTGAAGAATGTTTTCAGAGGTAGGATCATGGCGAAAGAGCAGGATCTTATCATACAATCCATAGAAACCACACTCAGGAAACTGCAAATACAATATCACAACAGTTTAGGTAATGCAACCTTCCTAAATATTTTGTCTTAAAACTAAAATAAATTCAGGGCACAGCTATGGACCAACTAGGAAAGTTCTAAGCCTCTAGAACATTCAAGTGTATTTTCTTTTTAAGTAATGAATGGCAGACTTGATGGTCACAAGACTCCATCAGGGAAAGTGTCATGTATCATAGGGGCAATAATGAATGACCACATGGTTTTCTAATCAACAAGAGAGTGGAGGAAAGGTTGCAAGGAAATGTCTATAGTCAAATGGTGAAGAAACACAACAGATGGGAACAAGCATTGTATTTCTCACATAAAGTGGGAGTCAGTGTATCAAATTATACTGCCAACTATGGCAATATGTCCCCCCCCCCGAAAAAAAAACCAAGTCAGTTTGTCATACGAAAATATAAGACGTGACTCAATGAAACTAAATGCACTGTGGGCTCAGAAGTGGTATCTAGAGCCTATGACTCAAGAGGGAACAAAGGAGGTAACCCAGCTTTGCCTTAGGCTGTCCTGCCTACAGTTCCCTTGATTTCTTCCAGTCTGTCAGTCCACAGTCACACAACATTGTTGGAAAGGGTCATCTGCCCCAGCATGAAGATTTTCATTAAAACAAGCAAGCCATGCGACTTTGGTAGGTGAAGAGGTTGCTGTTGCCACATGGCTTTCCTACATAATTACTGATGGCTGTTATCAGGTTTGTGATATGGTGGGTGCAGTTATATGGGGGGGTGGGGGGACGATGGCCTTTTTGATCCTGTAACCAGTGTTGGATCTGATCCTCCTGTGAGCTAGGCTCGGTGGCACATGCCTGGGTTCCTATCATTCTGGAGGCTGAGACAGGAGAATTGAAAGTTCTGGGCCAGGCTCTGTCACACACTGTGTCTGAGTCCCAGGCCAGTTTCAACTACACAAAGATACTCTGCCTGAAAAATCACTTTTTTGAAAAGTGGACTGTTTTCTACTGTAAGAAATGTCCACGATCCAATGCATTCTGAAGGTTAATGCAATCTATTATGAATACCTCTTTTTTATTCATAAAATTAAGGGCTTCATTCATATGAGCCCTTTGTATGAATTAAAAATAAATGTATTCAAAACATTTTCAGGCTTTTACAAGTCTGTGTGGATGACAAGGCTTAAATCTACTTCTGCATGTCTCTGAGTAGAGTTGACTTTCCTAAAATAAACAGGACAGCTGAAATGATGTCACTGCTTCCACTGTGCTAATTAAAAGTGGAAAAAAAGTGGTTTGCTTTAAAAAATGTCTCCACTATTATTAGAGCACAAGAAACAAAGAGAAAACTGAAATACTATTTTCCATGGTCTTAAAAACAGTGGAAAATTCACAGACTATTCTTAAAAAGCCCACTTCCTTGAAGAACAATTTGCATGACATAAAGCCAACATAGGGACATCTGTCTATGAGTTTTAATGAACATCAATATCCGTACACAAATTGCATCAAGCTATGAAACATATTCATCAATCCCAGAAATATCTCCTCTCCCCTCCTATCCCCCCTGCTTTTCCCCTTCCATTCCCTTCCTCCTCTCTCCTCCCAAAATCTAACCACAGGTGCAGGTCCACCTCTGTCCCCACAGATTGCCTGATGTACAGTTTCATATAAAGGAAATTACACAATATATTCTAAGTATATATTATAGATAAATAGATACAGTTTTCCAGGTTTCTCTTCACTGTATGGATTCTTTTGCTTGTTATAATTTTACTGGGATTCATTCATACACTGAATGGATATTGTCTATTAATATTTCGTTAAATGGACCTAGCATGATGTCTACTCACTCACCAAGGGACATCTGTCTTTTTCCCTAATTTGTGGCTATTACACATAAAAGCATATAGACACTTGTGTACAAGTGCTTCAGTGGAAGTTTGCTGTCACTTTGTGTGGGTAGACACCTAGGAATGGCACTGCTGGGTCATATGATAAATGTGTGTTGGATTTGTATGTCCATCCTCATGCCACAAGGTATTCCTTATTATCCTGGCTCTACACTGACTGGAATGCAGGCAGAGTAACTCCTCTTCCAACCCATTTCTTTCCCAAGGTAATTTTGGAAATCATATGACCTCTTGATTTCCATATGAATTTAAGAAACACATCATCATTTTCTATCAAAAATATGCTGTGATTTTCAATGGCCTACATAGATTAATTGGGGGAGAAATACATTTTCAACACAGAGATTTTCCAAGATGGGCCAGACATAGCTCAATTTTAATTTATTTGAACAATATTTTGTAGTTTTCAGTATATGTGTTGGGCATTTAATATATTATTTTATGCCAAGTAGTTACAGTATAACTAACACAGTAAAATTCAGCCATTTTGGGTTGGGATTTTGAAAGTTAAAAAAGGGATAGTATAAACATATGCTATATACATATAGACACATAGATATAACATGAACCACAGCATAACAACATGGCATATATATCTATATATCAATACATGATGGATGATTGATACATAAAATGATAGAGACAGACAATAAATAGATGATAAAGATAAATATTAATCAGATAGATGATAGAAGATAGACTAGATAGATGATGGATGGATGAATAGTAGATAGAGGATAGATAGATGATTGATAGATGATGGATAGATAGATGAGGATGGATAGATGATGATAGATGATGATAGATAGATGATAGATAGATAGATAGATGATAGATAGATAGATAGATAGATAGATAGATAGATAGATAGATAGACAGAGTGAGTGAGCTAGCGAGCGAGCGAGCGAAGGCTTAGACCACTCCAAAAACTTTCCCCATGCCTAGGGAAAGAGGTCAAACATCACTCCAGCAATGTATTTTCCCAGTTCTTGAAAACACTTTTCTGTCCCTATAATTCAGCCTTTTCAGATAAGTCCATCAAGTGGGGTCACACAGAACAATTTTTTGGTTCAAGTAAAAGGGTCACAAAACCAAACCAAAGGTCATGAATCAGGGAAAGGCATTTGGTATGGAGGAGCGGGGTGATAGGAATTGGAGAGAAATAACATAGAGTCGGGGAAAGAGAACAATCAGAAAGTATTATATAGGTTATTAAATTGTCACATTGTCAAAAGCAAACAATTGTTAAAACTAAGGTTAAATGACATTAATATAAAAGCAAATACGAAAAATAAAAAAGCAAAATCCAAAACAAAATTTTGAGTGTGAAGTTTCCCTTTAGGATAATTTGGAGACATCTCAGCGTTATAGTACGTTATCGCCTGTCTGGTCCAGCCTGTTGCTATTCCACACGGTCCTAAATATATGCAACAGTCCACATATGGATTCCGCAGCTGAGGGATATCTGAGCTGCTTTACCACATCAGTCTAGGCAATTATTTTTCATATGTTCTGCAAAGCACATGAAACGTTAGCAAAAGCAGACGGAGTGTGTAACAAACTAAAAATCTTCTGCATAGCTAGGGAAACAAATACCCTAATTGAAAAATGGTCAAAGTATCTGAAGAGGCGATTTTAACAGATTAAATATTTAGCCATATGTATGAAAAAATGCTCTACATTACTAATCATCAGAGAATGAAAGTTATAACCATAATGAGATGTCATCTCAGAAATATTAGACTGACTATAAGGGCTGGAGAGATGGCTCAGTGGTTAGAACACTAGCTGTCCTTGCAGAAGACCCAGGTTCAAATCCCAGCACCCACATGGCAGCTAACAACTGTCTGTAACTCCAGTTCCAGGGGATCCAAAGGCCTCTTCTGTCCTCTGAGGGCACTGCATGACATGGGTGCGCTTACCTACATGCAGGCAATACACTCATACTCATAAAATAAAGAATAGTAAATAAAATGTTTTTAAAAAGGAAATATTAGGCTGACTATAATAAAAGGCAAAAGAGATAACAAGTTGTGAGTAAAAGATATAGAAAAGGGAACCAAGGTCTGTGTACAGTTGGAGTGATGATGAACTTATGGGATGTTTACAATCACTGGTTCCTTTTTACACTATCCATAATAGTCATGATAAAGAACCAAACTAAGTGTCCCGCATCATGTAAGTGGCTACATAAGGTGTACACACAGTGATATAATAATCACACTTTATATACAAAGAGACATCTTTTCATTTCCAATGATACCAATGAACCTGGAGAAAATTACGCTTAGTGAGATGATCCAGGCAGTGACAAACTGCAGGATCTCACTCATGCATGGAATCTATCAACATGAACTTTAGGCAGTAGAGACTGAAATGGTGGTCACCAATGTAGATTTCAGGGGAGGGAGTAGCTGGCCAGAGGTTGGTCAAAGGTCAGAAAATTTCCATGGGATAAGTGGGACAGCTCAAGAGATCTATTATACAATTCAGTGACTCTAGTTCACAGGGTATGATAGCCTTATGAATAGCAAAGAGAGTAGATTATGTGTATTCTTAGCACACACAAAAAAGGTTAAGTATGGGAAGTAATGTTCTCAGAATCCTGGGCCAGATGCCAGACAAAAACTCAAGTCCAGCCAGTTGTCCCAGAGATCAAATGGAAAAAATAGTGATGTAAAACAGGAAAGGAATTCATTCATTATGATCATTTTGAGAAGCAAAAGGAGATGAAAGGTCTCATCCCTGTCTTCAGGGGTACTGACATTAGCTCCAAGGCTACCCAGGGAATGGGGACAGAAGGATGTTGCTCAAACATGTCTGGTTCGTCATTATCTCAGTTCTGGTCAAGGAAATTGCCACTGCTCTAGGTACAATCCACTTTGATGCTGAGGAAATTGTTGCTCCTCAGGGGGCTGCAATGAGGGGACAACCTCAGTTTGCCTCACAGGATGTTTATCTGACAGCCCTGTGATCCACCACAGGGAAGAGTTGGCTCTTTGCGAAGATCGCTTCTGCCTAGGTGGGTCAGTCTCAACACAGGGCAGCCTGCCTGCAAGGCTCTACTTTTTCTTGAGTGTGTTAGGCAATCCCTGACAACCTCCAGGC